TTTTAAAAAGACATAAAGATGTACACCGTTGCCTTTAAGTCAGTTATTAACAATATGGCGCAAGGTGAAAGTGTTGTCAGTGAATTTTCTTTGTGAGTATTTTACTGGAAATGGCACATGTACTTTGTTTAAAATTGTCGGAAGATTGAAAACAAACAACTATTCATTTACGCTTCCCAGAATATGTGATTCAGTTTCTGCGTATAAATAAACAGTAGGGATTAGTAATTTTAGGCCTTTAATTATGTCTAACATAGTAAGAAGGTTAATTCTAAATCTAAGGAAATTATTTTAGTTTTCCTTTTGAGGAATAGTGCTCTCTCAAAATTTGCAACTCTTTTCTGCGATCATAAAGGGTTTCTCTCATAATAAGAGACAGGCTTCGATCATCGAGAGATTGGATTAATTCGGCAGACGAAATTGTCTTGTTTTCAAAATAATCTACGTTATTGGGATTATTAAATGGTGCCAGTATTGTTTCATGTAATTTTTGAATTCACATGTAACTTAATAATTTCACCTTGCATAGTTCGTATTTTGATTCATCACCATTGAAACTATTTCTGGGTTGATAACGTGTAGATTTGGTTTGGTTTATTTTGTTTTACGGCATATCAACCTCAATGGATTATTTAATACCGACAACATTTTTAGGATAGATTCGTATAAATAGAATATGTATTCTTTGGTTTAGATTGGTTTGGCTTATTTTGTTTTACGGCATATCAACCTCAATGGATTATTTAATGCCGACAACATTTTTAGGATAGATTCGTATGAATAGAATATGTATTCTTTGGTTTAGATTGGTTTGGTTTATTTTGTTTAACGGCATATCAACCTCAATGGGTTATTTAATGCCTACAACATTTTTAGGATAGATTGGTATGAATAGAATATGTATTCTTTGGTTTAGATTGGTTTGGTTTATTTAGTTTAACGGCATATCAACCACAATGGGTTATTTAATGCCTACAACATTTTTAGGATAGATTTGTATGAATTGAATATGTATTCTTTGGTTTAGATTGGTTTGGTTTATTTTGTTTTACAGCATATCAATCTCAATGGTTTATTTAATGCCGACAACATTTTTAGGATAGATTCGTATGAATAGAATATGTATTCTTTGGTTTAGATTGGTTTGGTTTATTTTGTTTTACAGCATATCAATCTCAATGGGTTATTTAATGCCTACAACATTTTTAGGATAGATTTGTATGAATAGAATATGTATTCTTTGGTTTAGATTGGTTTGGTTTATTTTGTTTTACAGCATATCAACCTCAATTGGTTATTTAATGCCTACAATATTTTTAGGATAGATTCGTATGAATAGAATATGTATTCTTTGGTTTAGATTGGTTTGGTTTATTTTGTTTAACGGCATATCAACCTCAATTGGTTATTTAATGCCTACAATATTTTTAGGATAGATTCGTATGAATAGAATATGTATTCTTTGGTTTAGATTGGTTTGGTTTATTTTGTTTAACGGCATATCAACCTCAATAGGTTATTTAATGCCTACAACATTTTTAGGATAGATTCGTATGAATAGAATATGCATTCTCTGGTTGAGATTGGTTTGGTTTATTATGTTTTACAGCATATCAACCTCAATGGGCTATTTAATGCCGACAACATTTTTAGGATAGATTCGTATGAATAGAATATGTATTCTTTGGTTTAGATTGGTTTGGTTTATTTTGTTTGACAGCATATCAATCTCAATGGGTTATTTAATGCCGACAACATATTTAGGATAGATTCGTATGAATAGAATATGTATTCTTTGGTTTAGATTGGTTTGGTTTATTTTGTTTTACAACATATCAATCTCAATGGGTTATTTAATGCCGACAACATATTTAGGATAGATTCGTATGAATAGAATATGTATTCTTTGGTTTAGATTGGTTTGGTTTATTTTGTTTTACAGCATATCAATCTCAATGGGTTATTTAATGCCGACAACATTTTTAGGATAGATTTGTATGAATAGAATATGTATTCTTTGGTTTAGATTGGTTTGGTTTATTTTGTTTTACAGCATATCAATCTCAATGGGTTATTTAATGCCTACAACATTTTTAGGATAGATTTGTATGAATAGAATACGTATTCTTTGGTTTAGATTGGTTTTTTTTTTTTTGTTTTACAGCATATCAACCTCAATGGGTTATTTAATGCCTACAACATTTTTAGGATAGATTTGTATGAATAGAATATGTATTCTTTGGTTTAGATTGGTTTGGTTTATTTTGTTTTACAGCATATGAACCTCAATGGTTTATTTAATGCCTACAACATTTTTAGGATAGATTCGTATGAATAGAATATGTATTCTTTGGTTTAGATTGGTTTGGTTTATTTTGTTTTACAGCATATCAATCTCAATGGGTTATTTAATGCCTACAACATTTTTAGGATAGATTTGTATGAATAGAATATGTATTCTTTGGTTTAGATTGGTTTGGTTTTTTTTGTTTTACAGCAT